GCTGCTGCTGACGGGTGCCGCTGCCCCGGCGCTGCTGTACTCAAGGCGTCGCTGGCCCTCGTGCTTCTGAAGCTGGTCTGAGTCCTTTCATCCTCCCTCTTGCCTCAAAGCCGGGGAATCTGCCCTAAAACAGGGCTTTATCCCCACCCCAGCTCTGTGATGATTGGTGTTTCCTTACTGTTTATCAATATTTAAACAACAAAAGAATTAACTTAAGACCGATTGTATCAAAACATTAGAAGATTTGGACTTTTCCTGCAGGCTTACAGCGGCTTGGAGGACCATAAACGTAAAGAGTGCTCTTAAAGATAGGTTTGATCTTAGTCTAGTATGTCTTCAAAGTACTGCATACGCATATAAACATCAGGCTTATTGTTCATCAGAAGCCAGGCAGCAGGGAAAGAAATCCCTCAAAGGAATATTATTTGCTGTAAGATAAGTATCACTACTGCTCCTCAGCATTCACTTTAAAGTGAGCTATATCCTATTTCCATCTTCTTTCACGTCCGCTCTTAATTCTTTCTCTCTCCATTTTTTTTTTGTGTGCATAATGCACGCTTTTCTTGTTAGGATGCCGGCTGTGCGAGGTGCAGTTTCTCAGCACCCATTCTTGCCTGTCGTTCAAAACAGCCAGAAATGCAGATGACGAGCGGTGGCTGCACAGGGGCTGGGGAAGAGTTCGTTACAGGACAGGGCAAGACAGGTTTCAGGAAGAAAGGGGGAGACTGTCAGTTCCTTTTGCTTTTTTCAAAGCATGATGGTATTTTGCTTAGCAGATGATGAGGGATTTAGGAACCTGACTTTGTTGGCTTTGTTGCCTTTCGGTGGCTGAAGTCGCTGAATTAAGTGATGCAGTGCAGAGAAAGCAACTGGTTTGCTCCAGTAGCAAAATTAGCCCAGTATAAAATCTTGAGCTTTTACAGTGGTGGAGGCTCCTGGTTTGGAGCAGGAAACCCAGATGTGCTTTTCTAAGGGATCCTAGCAAGGCATCTCCAGGGCCGAGTTTGCTCCGGGTTTGGACGTGTGGCCGTGGCGGTGAACGCGGTACCCACAGCCTCCCTGGTCTGGCAGTTGCTGCGAAGCAGGGGGGTCGGATCCTGGTGGCGATGGCGATGGTGTCCGTGCCTGGCCCTGGCCAACCTGCGCGCGGCGGGTGGCTTCTCCCAGCGCAGAAGCCTGCCCGGGCACCTGGGTGTGAGGTGTGGGTAGCAGAGGGAGTAGCATTCGGAGTTCAAAGCACTAGGGGGAGGGCGGGGAACCCCACACATGAAAAACCTGGCTTATAGCCACCTCTGGCTCTGGGCTGCTGCTGTAAATAGATTGCGTGGCCGAGGTTCATTGCCAGGCTGGTAGATGACGGGCATGTGTGCCTGTAAGCAGCCGTGGCATGGTGTGGGGGGGCAGAGGACAGGGGGCAGCTGCTGCCTCCGCAGCCCTGCCTGGTGTGATGTGGAGTCACCCGGTGAGTGAGTGACTCTGGGGTTGAAGGGTTCAGGAGTGACCCACCGCGTTCCCTCTGCTCCACTAATAGCTGCTTGTTGCTAATGTCAATATTTTGTGTGTGTGTGTTACTCGGAGCTCCCCGGCGTGCTCCCGTGCTTTTTAGAAGACAGCAGGGTGAAGGCAACGCCGTTGTTGCAGGGGAAGGAGAGGCTGGAAGAGCGAACCAGGCACCTTAGAGACACGGAGGGTTTTCCTGGAGGAAGGAGAAAGTGAGCCTCGGGAAAGAAGTGACCACTCTTAAATGTGGCAAGTTACAGCCAGAGAGTTTCAGATCTGCCTAAAGTTTCAGTTGTTTTCCTGATGCGTTAGCAGATGGCCCCAGGATTTTCACTGCTGTTTACAGCACTGGTGTCAACTGCTCCTTGACACGAGAGTGGCAATGCCTGACCGGTTTTGTTTTTTTCCAGAGGTTTTCTTTTTCTTGCTTACTGTTTCGGGGTGTCATCTCGTTTGTTCTCAATGACAATATGACACACCTCCCCCCCTTGCCCACCCTCTCGTTGCAGAATCCAGAGGAGCTGTCGGAGAATCCTGCTCACGGGGAGATGATTCCTCATGAAGTCACTGGATCCCTTGCAGAAATCAAATGTGACTTTCCATTTATCAGACTGAAATCAGAGCCAGCCAGACAGTGAAGCAAGCACAGTGGAGGGGGGACGGCGAAAGATGAAATCCAACCAGGAGCGGAGCAATGAATGCCTGCCACCTAAAAAGCGAGAAATCCCTGCCACCAGCCTGCCTTCGGAGGTGAAGCCGGTCCTGCCAAACGACAACCACCGTGCGGATAACCTAGCATGGCTCCCCAGCACACCCGGTGGCCAGGGTGGCCTGGGGGGTCGGCACCGGCCCGGGGGGACGTCGGTGGTGGAGGCAGGCTTGCAGCAGGGTTTGCACAAGTCGCTGTCTGCAGGGCTGGACTATTCCCCGCCGAGCGCACCCAGGTCCGTTCCAGCCTCCACCACTCTGCCCACGGTGTACTCGCCCGCCCTCTCCCAGTCAGGGACCCCTGTTTCCCCGGTGCAGTACACGCACCTGCAGCACACCTTCCAGTTCGTCGGGCCCCAGTACAGCGGATCGTACACCGGATTCATCCCCTCGCAGCTGATTTCCCCAACGGCCAATTCTGCGACCGGCTCCGTGGCGGGGGGCCCAAACGGCCCAACCACCCCCACTCCCAGCTGGAGGCTTATTCCACTTTGCTGGCCAGCATGAGCGGCTTAAGCCAGCAAGGGCACAAAGTTGAACCGCACCTGGTCAGGACACCTGGACTGATCGCTGCCGGGTCTCCTCCACCCACCCAGCAGAACCAGTACGTCCACATTTCCAGCTCTTCCCAGAGCGCTGTCAGAAATGTCTCTCCTCCCACCATCCCGGTCCCCCTGCACCCCCATCAGACAGTGATCCCACACACCCTCACCCTCGGCCCTTCCTCCCAAGTGGTGGTGCAGTACACAGACTCGGGGGGCCACTTTGTCACCAGGGATCCCCCTAAGAAGCCCGAGAGCAGCCGGCTGCAGGCGATGCAGGCAAAGGAGGTACTGAACGGCGAGATAGAGAAGAGCCGGAGGTACGGCATTTCGCCTTCTGCCGACATGGGTCTAGTCAAAGCAGGCAATAAACCCGCTCCCCATCATTACGAGACCAGGCACGTGGTAGTCCACTCGAGCCCCGCCGAGTACGGTGGGCGGGATTCCTCAGGTGTCCGAGCCTCCGTCATGGTGGTCCCCAACAGCAGCACGCCCACGGCGGACATGGAGGTGCAGCAGGCCACCAACTGCGAGACCTCTCCCTCAGCCCTCAACGACAAGGGAAGCTTGCATTTAGGAAAGCCAGCGCACCGGTCCTACGCCTTGTCTCCGCAGCAGGCTCTGGGCCATGAGGGGGTGAAGGCGGTGGCCACGCTGTCCCCTCACACCGTCATTCAGACCACCCACAGCGGCTCCGAGCAGCTCCCCGTCGGGCTGCCGGCGACAGCCTTCTACGCCGGGACCCAGCCGCCGGTGATCGGCTAACCTGGGGGGCAGCAGGGAAAAAAAAAACCGCTGCCGCAGCACCTGGTGATCCCTGGCGCCCAGTCCCTGCTGATACCGGTCGGCGGAGCGGACGTCGAGCCGTCAGGAGTCGCGCCTGCGATCGTCACGTCGTCTCCCCAGTTTGCAGCAGTGCCTCACACGTTCGTCACCACCGCCGTCCCCAAGAGCGAGAACTTCAGCGCGGAGCCCCTCACCACCCAGCCTCCCTACCAGGCCACCATGGTGCAGGCGCAGATCCACCTGCCCGTGGTGCAGTCCATCGCTTCCCCCGCCGCCGCGCCTCCCACGCTGCCCCCCTACTTCATGAAGGGGTCGATCATTCAGCTGGCCAACGGGGAGCTGAAGAAAGTAGAGGACTTGAAAACGGAAGACTTCATACAGAGCGCGGAGATTAGCAACGACCTGAAAATAGACTCCAGCACTGTGGAGAGGATTGAAGACAGCCATAGCCCAGGCATTGCCGTGATACAGTTTGCGGTTGGGGAGCATCGAGCACAGGTAATGGCAGCGCATGGTGGGGTGCGGGGGCGGGCTGGGGCGCATGCTGTGGCCCCCCAGGTGCAGCTTTCCTCAGCGCGTCTCATTCACTTTGGGTCTGCATGGGGTTGATTCTTCATCGTTCACATCCATCCGTGAGACCAACATGGGTCCAAAAATCATCCCACTCACAGTGCCGGGGGAGCCATCAGGGTCACACCGATGATAAATGTGGTCTCTTGGATATAAAATAGGACTTTCTTATAGCTGGAGAACCCAGAGGAAGAATTACAGGATCTTCATGGGTTTTGATTAAAATGCAAAATGGTGTAGGCAGTACAAGAGGATACATTTTGCATTTTGATAGGTGATTTTTACCTTCCACGCCAGAAAGCTCAGGTTGGGTTCAGCTCAAATCCTACCCTTGAGAGATAGGTAGGGCACAAGACAGTGAATTTGCACGGCTTGAAAGCTTGGAGCTACCTGGGAGTGGCTCCGTCACACACGTAATACTTGAAATATACTACAGAGTTGTACATACTTGAAATGCACTACAGAGTTTTATTGAGGCTTCGGTTGCGGGTGGTTTAAACACTGCACGGCTCACATAAACTGTGTGCTCAAGGGACATTTGGAAAGAAAAATCATCTAGGTGGCTGGGCAGGCTGTGCTTCTCACCTTTGTTTGTCGTTGGTTTGCAGTGTAGGAAGAAACCCTGTAACTTTCCAAAGGTATTTTTAGGTTGAGAATGAGTACATATTGATCATAAAGTGTTGCTCTGATGCTCTCCATTTTCTGAGCGGTTTA